GGATAGGCTTTCAGTAATACACTGCCATCCATATGTGAACGGAATGAACGGAAGAGTGGAGACAGGCCATCTTACTGTATTTGCTGAAGATGTGATGGGTGTGGGCCTGAAGAACTGTGAATTTGGTGGGATTTTTTTATTTAATTTTTTTTTTTTTTTACACTTGGCAACTGAGCAGGCCTCATTTGGTCATTCATCAAAAGCAGCAGAGCGAGAATGAGTGTGAGGAGAGAGAACCCACCTACCAGCATGTATGGAGAAGGGAATTGTGCGGTGTTTCGAGGGGTTAGGATACAGGAGTGAATTGTGTGGGAGAAGAGGGACCAACTGAACATGAAGGGACCAAGAATAACAGAATTAGAAAAAGTAGAGGGGGGTTGAAGGGTGTGCTTGTTTAAAGGGAAAAAGATACATTTTGTTTCAAAGGGAGCATTAAAAGTATGGGAAGATAAAAGGCAAATACAAGACTGGAAAATTGGTTTAGAGATGCTTGCAGTGTTTGTCTTGAACCTGACCAAATGCAGGTTTTGCTGTTTGGAAGCAACTTCTTTTCCAACAATTAACCTGGCATCCACTGATGAGAAGAGGGTGATAGCCCTTTCCTTTGAATACTGTAGAATCATAGAGCAGCCCAGGTTGGAAGGGACCTCAGAAGATCACTTGGTCCAACCTTTTGTGAGAAAGGAGCCTACCTGCAATTATGTAGCACCCTGTCCAATCGTAGATAAACCTCATTTTCTTCCTGAAGAGGTGAAAGAGAGATGAGATTTTTTTTCAAACTAAAAGATTACAGATAAAGTCATCTTTTGTTGTGATAGCTTAATTCTTATGAGTCCGAGAGATGAACAACTCAGATACTTCAGCCTGGCTGAGTCACCTGGAGCCAATAAAACATTCTTGCTTTGTCAGTGTTCTGTACAGGAAAGAACAGGAGACCTTGTTTGTCTCCAATTTGCTGATTTCTGTATTACAGGAGGCAGCTGTGGGCAACATCTGTCACCTGTCCCAAACGCAGCTTGTGGAGGCTTGCCTTGAGAACATGTTCAAAATTAGCTGTACTTGACTTCCATCCTAGCAAAACACGGATGATGGGAGAGAGGGCTGGCCCTAGCTGGGTATCACTGTCACTAGACCTTTACTGAAGTAAAGCTGTAGATCTGCTGGTTCAATCCACACCACAAGAACATTCACTTTGAGCAAATTCTACCTACCTATAACCAGTCTCTAATATTCTTAACAAACGTGGTTTCACTCGCACGTGTTTGGTAAATCTCCCGACAGCAGTGCACAGGGTACGGTGGCTCTTTGAAGGAGCAGAACAGATTCTGCCAGTAAAATGTTGCTTAATCCTATTGGATTAAGAACCTCTGTATTTGCTTTGATCATGACAAAGAGTGTATGTGCACAGTGTCTGCAAACCCTTTGAAATACTTTGACACAATATGTGTTTATTTAAAATGCTTATTATGCTCAAAGTAATCTAAAGGGCTTTAGGAGAAAATCAAACGTGCAGGTGTTGAAATGTTTCTGTGATTTCCCCACATGTACAGATGCACACCCCCCTTTCTATATCAGTGGTCAGATGTACTTGGGTTACACTACAGGTAACACAACAGTAGCTCTTGATGATGTCTGCAAGGAGAGAACTATGAGGAGAGGCTGAGGACTTGTTTATCTGGGAAAGAAAAGGCTAAGAGGTGATATAAGGCAGCCTCCTGCAATGGAGAGGGGAATTACAAAGAAGATGGAGCCAAACTTTTCCCCATAGTGGCAGATGCTGTAATGAGGCAGCAGCTGCAGATTGCTGCTTGGGAGGTTTTTGTTGAACACAAGGAAAATTTTTCTTGCTGGAAGGGTAATGCAGCACTGGACTGAGTTGCCCAGAGAGATGATAAAATCACCAGAGGTTTTTGAGGCTTACTTAGACAAGTCAGAGTTAGACTGACCTAGTGTTGGCAATATACTCACATCGAGCAGGAGGCAGGCTAGAGGATCCCTCCAACTAACATTGGTGATTGGTGGAAAATTGTAGTTCAGAAGGCAGATTACTTGAAGATTTAGTGATTTTTAGATCACAGGTAGATTTTTGAGTTGTTTTGCTTCAAAGCAATACCAGGACTAGTATCTGAAGTCACTGGTATGTGAAATCTTTTTAAATTTTCAGTTCTGGCTAGTGAGACTAGTGAAATTACAAAGTATTGTAAGAGTTACCTGCTATATCTAAATTAAAAAGGACAGCCTGAGTACAACTTGTGGGTGCAGTAGAAGCTCATAATAAAAGACATCTTGTACTCTGAATCTGACCAAGAATTAAAAACATGTCATGTAAAGGGGAGGTAGGAATAAATACTGATATCTAAGACTGCTCCTTATTAAATGATAACTGTGGGGTTTGGGGTATCTTGTATAATAGCTGGAATTCATTGAAGCGCACCTGTAGCATGAGTAGTGCTAATTATTGCAATTGGAGCTATCGCATACTGGAACTGTCATTGACAATCTAGCCCTGCCTTTCTTCCTGCTCAGAGGAATCCCAATACAGCACATTCTGTAATCGTCATCAGTGGGAATCACTGCTGAGTTTGGACTCGGTGACAGTGCATTGATTGATTCATTACTGGCATCAGTTTCCCGGTTTCACTTCTGCAACTTCTCATTTTAGGGCTTCTTCAGTAAACGTCTGAAAGGGTCCATCAAGAGGACGAAGAGTCAGTCCAAGCTGGACAGGAACACAAGTTTCCGTCTCCCATCTCTACGCAATGCTGATGACAGGTAAGGTTCAGTGCACCTCCCAAAACAATCTCTCCTCACCCAGAGGCGCTTCACAAAATCTGCATGCAGCATGCGTACGCACTCACAGAACGAGAGCAAGGAAGGAGATTTGTTGTTAAACTGGCAGATGGGTGGGTTTGGGGCTGACTCTAGTATGTTTGAAGTTATTTAGTATACAATGTACCGCTAACACAGGACTGAAAACTGTTACTGCTCTTAACAGCCGATGAAAAATTCAGGGTAAGCATATGGACTTGAATACCTTGTTCTGTATCTGTTTCAAATAAGCCACAGACTTCAAATTTCATCATACAAAACCATTGAATCGATCAGCTTTAGAGAAACTTTCCTCTATGCATGCAATACTTATCCACAGATCAGCGCAGTAGCCAATATGAGGGATTATGCTGGTGCAAGCAGATCAGTTCAGCTAGCACTGGCAAAGCAGAGATGTACGGTGTAGTTCAGGCACATTAAGAATCCTTGCTAATGTCAGTCGATTGTATCATTACTGCAGTGTTACTACAATGAACAGATGGTCTGTTTTTCAGAAAACTGGAAAACTCGGTCACTTCTGACTGTCTTAGTGCTCCATTTGGTATATTCTTGCTTGTTTAGTTTCTGGCTGGCAATTGAGGCTGGGAACGGATTGTATAGGAGGCAAGCAAAAGCTCATCCACAAAGTTTTTCCTAACTATTTGTGAAGTCTCTTGATTGTTTTCCTTAAACATTACTCTCTGTTACATTCCACGGTAGCCCAGCAGGTGAACTAGACTGAGTGAAAAATAGGTTGCCCTGTACTTAAGGCCACGGCAGGCTGCTGTGATTTCTACATTGTTTAGTGCATTTACCATTCTCCTTTAGCTGAGTTGAATTCATTAGTTGTATCAGTCATGCTGTGCTACTTCAATCAATGGTGTTATCTTCTCCATCTGAAAAGCAGCAGCATCAAATTATGGAGATAGCAAGGCTTTGGGCGTTAGAGCTCTTGTTAACTTCAGGAGTTACAGAAAAGACTGCTGCTTACCAAATATGACTAATGATGCATATGATGTTGCTCCTACAGTCATAGTAATGTCCACTCAGTCTGTTTTGAGTCAAGTTTTGTTATAAATCCCTATTTTCTGGGAGCTGCAACATGGCTGTAAAAAGCAACTCAGTGAGAATAAGCATGTTAAATAATGCCACCATGTGATAAAGTACATGTTATTTTTACCATTGTTTGTAACCAGCTTTGCTTGAAGTTTGTAATGTAAAAATCTCTTTGCTGTAAATAATGTATTTTTCTTTCCTTAACTTGGTACTCATGGTGAATGTAGACTGATGATACTTCCTTTTGCAGTGTAAGGGAAATGCTGTCGTTCTGGGAAAACCAATAAATTTAGCTATAATTAATACCCACAACTTTGGTTTAAGACATGAAGTTATACAGAGCAAACCTGCTTTCTCTTTAAAACTGGACCCCTCTCCCTGCCAGTGTGGGCATGAGTTGTTAACTAGGCCCAAATGAAACGTGGATTTTATCTGATTGCTTGCAAAGCATAAAATCCAGTGCATGCAGTGATGGCATTAAGCATAGCTGGTCTGTTCTGTCAGTCCTCTCAAGTCTCCTTGGCATGGATTTTAAAAGGAGGATCAAGGAGCAAACGAACTGAGAAGTTCCAGTGGCAGAGGGACAGAGCCCTTGGGAAGCCAGTGATGTGCAGGGTGTTAGACAGGGACAAGCCACTGATTGCTCTTTACTTTCGATCCGCTCACCCCCCCTCCTTTGGCCTGCTACGCTAGCTTTATAGCAATGCATCTTGCATCTGTAGGGCAGGAGATGGGACAGTGTTTCAAGGCTTTTGTGACTTGATACGGTCGCTTGCTACTAATGGAACGAAGCATTTTTGATAACCAGCCCATGTGATCTTCCTCCTTTCAGAGGTATGTGTGCTGAAGTGAAGAGAGGGCACAGTTTGGAGGCAAGGGAGATCATCTGAGAGTAGCCAAGCTATGTGGAAAGCAAGCTGAGCTGAAGTTTATTCAGAAATAAATCTTTCACAAATGAGTACTGCTGTTCAAAAGCATGAGCCTCGCCTCAAGCTGGTTGATGCCTCGTGCTGCAGGAGAGGGTCACAATTTGCTGATATGCTTGCGTTCAAAAAGAACTCAACAGCGCTACTCAACCTCGTAGTTACCTTTTGTTGGAAAGATTGAAGGTCTGGTGGCATTCTCTTTGCATTTGTGGTCTAATCAGGCGGTGCACCAAATAAATATACCAAGTTGCAAAGTTTATGGTCAGAGATGACTTTTCTAATGGTATTTTATAAATAAAAACATAAAGGAAATTCAGTTCCACTGTAAAGTGAAACTTGCCGGTAATTTCTCCCTTCCTTCGCATATGTTTCACTCTTTATATAAGGGTGCCTGAAAAATGTAATTGGTGGGTAGAATAGCAGGAAAAACAACTTGTAAACAACGTGGGAATGAAGCACTGAAGATGAGGAACAGATTGGTATACTGGGAGGAGATGGGCTGGAGGAAAGAGGAGGCTAAAAGGATTGATTTGTGTTTTAGAATTATGCTGCTGTTTGGGATTTTTCCAATGGGACAAATCAGGGGCAACTGTTTCTGCGTGAATGAAGATAACGCATAGCAGCTGACTCTGAATTCATGAGAGGGAATTGCCATTCTCTCACCTGCTCTCCCAGCTTTCTGTCTGAGTCTCGATCTGTTGCAGTAAAAACTCTCCTGTCCTACCCCGGTGAGTCAGCCCTTTCCCATTTTTAGCAGGTGATGCTAGGTGATATCATGGTGTTATACAGGTTTTCAGGGCCAGGTTGACTGATAGCATCTACCTTTTCTTGCTCTGGCAAATACAAGAGCCGTGCCTTCAAAGAGAGTATCCTACAGCTTTATAAATTAAAACCCTGCAAGGATTTGAAGGAAATAGAGGCTGCTGTCATGTCGCTTTTCTCATGCTTTTGAGGTGTTTGGGTCCTGTTAAGAAACAGGAGATTTTTACAGATATATACCTATAAAATTCTGGAGTAAGGAAGATTAGTTATCCTGGTGCACATCAAGATTTGGGATACTGTAATACTGCATGTCGTTCCAGATGGTGACAGAGGGTGGATGCTGTCTGTCCAGAGCTCATTTAAAATAGAAAGGATTCAGGAATGCTATAGGAAGGAGGAATGGAGATAAGTTGCAGATTTTTTTCATAATCAGATTTTCTGTTTCAGCAGAAAGCAATTGGCCCACCTACTTTTTCTGGCTTTTAAACTTTGTTTCAGTCTGACTGGGTTAGTGGATGGGGAGAGGAGAGAGCTGCAGTGCCCCTCCAGAAACGAGCCACCGTGGGTCAGCATCCAGGTGTCCAGTATGAGTCCACAACCTCTCAGTCTGTACCACTTGTATTACTCCAGGTTCAGGCTGTTCGCTGGGCAGTCTGTTTTACTAGAAAACTCGTGGTTTGTCTTCACAAGGCGCTAACATGAGAAGTCTTAGAATCTGCTGGGTTGTGACCCACGCCAGATGTGAATGAAGCTCTTCAGACGTGTGGCCACTACGGCATCTCACCAGGTTATCAACAGCTCTCGCCATGAGGCTATCTGGCACCATGTTACCATATCATCTCTCACAGCTTTTCTAGCCTGTTTCCCACTGCATTCTTTGAGCTCTTCAGCCCACACATTTGTCTCTAACATTTTCTCTGTGTCAGTAATAGATAAAACATGTAAAAAAAGCATGAGAAAGGACTTAAGGAAAATTACATTTGAAAGGAGAGGCCAAATTAATATTTTCAGTTTGCGGCCAGGAATTTGAGAGTATTTCGAAGTGGACTGACAGTTCTCGCCACGGTTTTGTTTATGGTGAGGGAGCGAAGATGGTTGAGACTGGCTGCATATGGTCTCAGCGACTGCAATAAAGCTCTGCGGACAGCTGGGAGGGTTTTGCCCTGCTGGGATTTACTGCCACGTGGGAATCCTCCTGCTTTACTAAAAGTCATTTTATGGCATTATCAGATAGTCGTAGACGAGCGCAGGATCCGTTGTGTGCTTGCTCAGAATGGGCTCCAGCAGGTTGCAGGGAAGCGGGTAGCCATGGCTCTGGGATTCATGGTGAAACGGTATCGCTGCTCAAATGACAGCTTTTTCTACTTTCGGTAAGTTCTCGCTCCTCCCTCCTGGTTTCTTTGCGGTATGAAAATAGCACAGATCGTATAAATAATAGAAGCAGACCTTGCTGTGTTTTTCATATTCGTTCATCCTAATTTAATCATGGTTTTCAAAAAAAAGGTGGGTGATTTTTATCCCGATTTAGACATAAGGATAAAAATCTGTGTTACACAATGCGTTATTAAGGCTTGACTCACTCAGAGCTTGTATTCATTCAGCCTATCCGTTTCTATCTGCATACTGGAGTATGGGGAAAGGGGAGGAGTGGCTTGTTTCCGGAGAGATGTCTCACTCCGTATTTCTTTCAACCAGTTTTTTTGGGTCTTCATGCAGCTGTTTTGTTTTTCATTGAAACCTGAACAAGATCTCAATGTTAAGCCTATTGTCACAAACCTTCACTTTTTTCTAGACTTCTCTGTCCCATCTGCAGGTTTGCTTGACCCCTTTATAAAAATACACTTTTTAATGGCTGATGCTTTTCTGCAAACCCCAGGCTCCTCCACATAGCATTCACCTGTAAATCACTTAGCAGTAAAATGAAATTGCATTGATTAAGCATCTCTGGTCCAGCAAAACAGAAGAATTTGAAACATTTAATAGCAGAGACCACAGTTACAGTAGAGTGAGGAGAATGCTACCACTTTGAAATTCAGCAGCCTGCGCTGTATGAAGTGTCTGTTAGACAAGCTGTGATCTGTAGGGAGAGCAGGCGGGCTGGGAAGGGCTTTGCAAATCCAGTATCCAAAAAATGAGGCTTTGGGTAGGGCTTTGCAAGAAAAGACCAGAATCTCAATGGAAGACCAAAGCAATATGCTCAGAAAAAGCCAGTGTTTAATT